GAAACCATCTTTCACCTTTTAAGACTTAGAGTTAATGTCTGCAGTACATGCTTGAAGTTCCATTTCTCAGGATTCTGAGGCAGGAGGATAGTAAATATGAGCCAGCCTGGGCTACAGAGCAAGATCCTGCCTGAAAACAAACCAACAGGTCAGGCATGGTGGTGCATGCCTTTAATCTAGGCAGTCAGAAAGCAGAGTTAAAGGTGGATCTCCAAGGGTTTCAGGCTCTTCTGGGAAAGCAGCTTTCACCTTTTAAGACTTAGAGTTAATGTCTGCAGTACATGCTTGAAGTTCCATTTCTCAGGATTCTGAGGCAGGAGGATAGTAAATATGAGCCAGCCTGGGCTACAGAGCAAGATCCTGCCTGAAAACAAACCAACAGGTCAGGCATGGTGGTGCATGCCTTTAATCTAGGCAGTCAGAAAGCAGAGTTAAAGGTGGATCTCCAAGGGTTTCAGGCTAGCATGGGCTCCATAAAGAGTTCTAGGCTTGTGATAACTACCTAGTGATCTCTATCTCAAAAAGAAAAACAATGAAAGAAAGATTAAGAAAGGAAGGAAGGAGAGAAAGAGGGAAATAAATAATAAATACAAAAGGAATTAAAAGCTACAGTGTGAATATAATACAGTGCAGTATGTTGCTTTATCCACACACATAACCATTACATTAATCATTACTATGAAGAACAAGCTAATAGAAAAGTGTTTATAATGAAAAAGTTAAGCTATGAAAACTCTAAAAGAAAAATGCAAAGAAGGGCTGGAGCATAATGATGGAACACATGTCTGCCATGCCCTATGCCTCAGGTTCAGGTCTCAGTTGAGCCAAAAGGAAAAACGGGAAAGGAATGAAGAAGTAAAATCAATCATAAGCAAAAGATGAGTGCTCCTTCTCCAATGCCACTTTCTCTTTTTAAATCACAGCTGCTGTGTCTTCCTTCCCAGAAGTGCATGGAGTGGTGGGTCACCCTGTGACACTGCCATGTACTTATCCAGTGTCTAATGGCATCTCCTCCATGTGTTGGGGCCGAGGAGAATGTGGGGATACATGTAGACAAACACTTATCTGGACTGATGGCTACAGGATCTACTATCGGAAAAGCAATCACTACCAGCTGAAGAGACAGCTTCTTGAAGGAAATGTGTCCTTGACCATACAGAATGCCGCTGAGAGCGACAGTGGTCTCTACTGCTGTCGAGTGAAAATGAAGGGCCCGAATGGTGTACAGAAACTGACCATCTCACTGCAAGTTCAGCCAGGTAAGCCGGCCTTGTTGCTTTGCTTATGTCTTGCAAGTGAACCGAGTCCTCTGTTTAATTTGTTCTTTTCCTAGAACAAGGAAATAAAGGGTCTTATAAACATGCTTGTGATTAAACATTTGCTTCTTATTATTTTTTTAAATGACATAATCTCATGTATCTCAGGTTGTCCCTTCCTGACCATCCCCCCGCCCCAGCCCCCCTGCCAATAGCACTCTAGTCCTCATAATTCAGTTGTATGCCACCAACTTGTTTATTTATTTTTACGCCCTAAGATCAACTGTAATTCAAGACCAAAAGCTAAGTCAGGACCCAGGTCCTAACTGTACTTAGAACAGTCTTGTTATTCCATGAAACTGCATCTCTTTTCTGTCTTGAAATATAGCAAGGAGCTTTATTTAAGCTGACATGACTTGAAGGAAAGGGTATCCCTGCCTCTGAGTTAATGCCTTGTGACATTAAGCCACCTGTCCTCAACACTGGGAAACCACTACATCTCTAACCTGAAAAGCAGGCAATGCAGGGTGCTGCTGTACTGATGAGCTGGCCTCAACAATGGTCAGCTGACCTTGCTGAGCACAGGCCACAGGTGTAGTGGAGAGTTCTACTCCATTTCTGTCCTGCCTTGGGCCTTTGAAATGGCCCAATGGGAAAGTCTTTCTCTTCCAATACTGTTCAGTGGTTACTAGTGAGAAGTTCATGAAAGCCCCAGCTCTTAAATCTTTATAAATCTTCTTTTGTCATGTGGACATCATTTTCACAAAAGGAGTTGAAGGATGTACCTTCTTCTGGTGATAGTCCTAATCGCCGTGACTACAAGGCGATTAGGACTTGAATTCTAACTTGTCTCTATCTTTAAATTTTCATGAATCATTTTGTAATTGTTCAACCTTTGCAGTTTGTTACTTACCTTCTTTTGTTTTTGGTTTTTCTAGACAGGGTTTCTCTGTGTAGCTTTGAAGCCTATCCTGGCATTCGCTCTGGAGACCAGGCTGGCCTCGAACTCACAGAGATCTGCCTGCCTCTGCCTCCTTAGTGCTGGTATTAAAGGCATGCACCTCCAACGGCCGGCACTTACCTTCTTATTTATCTATTTATTTTTGTCACTGAATCTCACTGTGTGGTATGGATGGTCAGGATTTCTACAAATAGATCAGACTATGCCCTGTCTTTGGACTGATGGCATCAAAACCCTGTTTCACAATGTCCAGCTGTTTGAAATTATTAACAGCGAGCTGTTATCAAGCATAGAAAAGATTTCATAGGTCAGTGTTTAAAAGTTCTCTGTTTAGCCAGTCAAGGGGTTCAAAAGTGATACTCTGCCTTATCCTTTAACCACCATTTATTATAATTTCTTGTGTTTTGAACACATCGGGCTTCCTCTCCAGCTGTCCTAGGACCCTCATCAGCTCCTTTACACTTTCTCATCTACCTGGGAGAAAAAAATGCCCCAGAACAAGATAAGCAAATGTCCTGAGTTGCTGATTCTTTCCTCGTTCTGTCCTCTTAGTGATCTTCTGACTAGATTGTTGGTTTGCTTTTCTCTTACCTCAGAGATTTCTACTGTCCGTGGAGGGTTTATATTGTTCTCAAGCCTCTGCCCACACAGTGGGAATACTTGCAGGCTAACTAGTCTAGTTAGCCTTATGATGCAGCACTGTGTGGTGTCCTCTCAAGACTGACTGCATTGAACATGCTGTGGGTGAACTCTGTCACCACTGAGAAGAAAATGATCAGTTACAGGGCCCCATATCCTCTTAGTGTCACAGCGATTCTGAGAGAGATCTGAGGATCTGAACCCTATCATTTAGAATGTGTTTCAGTAGGAAGGTGAGCTCTGTTCTCATCTCCATGTTGTCAGCACACCTGCCACCTATTAGGGAGCCTGTCTCCACTGCCCCACCCTGCAACATCCTGCTTACATCAGTGACAAAGAAGTTCAGGAGAGGAGCCTCTGCCCAGAGACAGCCTCTCCCTGATGTGCTGGAGAATGGTTGCAGCAAAGGCTCTTCTTTCTTCTTGCTCGGCTGACCCTTGGCTTTCATATTCAGGAGTTACAACAAGTTCATCAAGGAGACTTACAGATACAAGTAGATTCAAATCTATCAATACACCCAGACCTACTTCAAGGAAAACCAAAACTACTCCAAGAAAACCCACAACTACTCCCAGGAAACCTATCACTACTCCAAGAAGACCAGCAACAACCGCAAAACCCACAACTACTAAAAGGAGACCCTCAACCACTCCAAAATTCACAACTACTCCAATAAGACCCTCAACTACCACAAAACCCACAACTACTAAAAGGAGACCCTCAACTACCACAAAACCCACAACTACTACAAGGAGACCCTCAACTACCACAAAACCCACAACTACTAAAAGGAGACTCTCAACTACCACAAAACCCACAACTACTTCAACAAGACTCACAGATGGTCCAAAAAAACCCAGAATCTCTACCTGTACTCCTCCACCAACAACAAACACACTTACACCAAAACCAGGTAAAAACCACATGTTTCAGCAATCAGAGACCTTCTCATGGGATGCTGTAGGACACAGAGAGCAACAAGGCAGCCATAAGTACAATCTAGGTGAAGTGTTCTTAGATGGATTCTGAACAATTGCTTCACAATGTCTGTGATTCTCCAGCCCTTTTATGTTCACCCTCTGCTCTAGGCAACTCTATGCGCTGGGGAACTGTGAGGATCACTCAGGACTGACAGAACTTCTCAATATTAGTTTCTGCCTGCTTCAGTGGGTGGGCTGAATTTGGAGAACAAAGATAAGTTACTGATTTCACTGAAAACTGAGATTTAGAAAAGCAGTGACAATTGATGTGATCATATGACTGGCTGGGGTGGTATCAGTTGATTTTTATTTTGTTGAGATTAGATCTTTGTTGAGACAGGATCTCAACTTGACTGGAATGGAACTCATGATGTAGATCAAGCTTACCTTGAGATCACCAAGATCTCCCTGCCTCTGCCTCTAGTGATGAAAGGTGTGCGACATCATGCCTGTCAGTATTGAATTAAAATTTTATCTTCTTTCATATTTGAGTCACACTTATACCTGGAAGGTTGTGCTTAAGGTCCTAAGTCACAGAGTCTAGACTGTAGATGTTTCCTGAACCTAGTCATTGTCTTTGGCTCCTTGGAAGTGAGCTCCCAATGAGTAAAAATGTAAGCTTAGTAATATGAGAATGTGGAGGGGTATAAGTCATCGAACTTCACTCATGCTGGCAGTGCCAGCTTTGGCAGTAATTGCGACTTCCATAGACCTTGCAGTATTACCACTCATGTTTTGGGCTGTGTGTGTGTGTGTGTGTGTGTGTGTGTGTGTGTGTGTGTGTGTGTGTACTACCAGCAGAAATTTCTGTCATTTAGTAAAACTACAAATGTAGAACCATCTGATGTATGCTGTTTCAAGAATAAAATGAAGCAGGTACTCACTGTTAGGATATAAAGCATTTGTTTATTGCTGTTACTCAGCAGCATGAGAATTCTGTACATACCGATTTTAGAAAGCTTAAAATTTATAATCTGTTCCCCCCAAATAAGGTATCTCAGAGACACCGCAATATGTGAATGGAGTTCAGGGACTCTCCTGCCACAGGAAATCCCAATCCTCACATATGTGACATGGTGACTCAGGTGATACTGTAGCTGATTTCTGAAGCAATTCTGATCCAAGCCAAGGCTACTGACATATTAGATAAGAACACACAAGCTGTTTTGGATGCCGTGGTAGTTCCACTCATTCTGAGAAGCTTCACCCTGACCTTTCGGTGTGTGTGTACTCAGCATCCTCAGCTTATATGGAAGTATTGGTGAAGTGGGACTTTGAACTGTTCCAAAACTAAGTCATCTGACTCACCTAAATTTATGGATAAACCCAGGCATGTACATGTATTATTGAGAGAGCGGGAGGGAGGGAGGGAGAAAGGGGGGTATTTTCCATGAAGCTAGAATAGAAAGGTTAAGATATATAACTTCCTAGATAAATTTAGTAAAATGCTAGTATTTAGTGAGGTGCACCTCGTGCCTATGATATTCGCTCATGCTGTTGAAATTTCAATCTATCATAGAAGCTATTGTGAATATGTGTAGTGCCTATACTACAAAACTAACATTTTTTAATGACAATTTTCATTCCTTTTGAGCAGATTACACGGTCTTTGTGACATCTTCCCACCGCCCTTGGAGTAATCACACTGTAAGCATATCCCTCCCTGTGTTAATGATGTGATTCTCTTGTCTATATTCCTGGAATCGAGTTGCATTTAAAGACTTGTAAAAAAATTTTTAGCTCACAGACTTTTGTCTCAACAACAAATAAATAGAAGAAGAGAAAAGGAGTCAAGCATAATTGTTTATTCCTTTATGGTAGGATCCAGGAAGCTGACACAGGGGATGCCAAATTGAGGATAGCCTGGACTACCAGATCAGCTTGAGCTACATAGTGAGACCTTATATCAAAAATCCCAGGGAGACAAAGACAGTATTAAATATATGATAATAAATCCACTGTAAAGAGAAGAATTTGACTATAAAAGGGTATTGAGTTTATTTTGGTGGGCAAGTTTGTTAGAGGTGCCTAATAAATGCTATTTTACAAATCAATGAGGGAGGTAAGGACACACAGAGAGATTTTCCATGGTTAAAATTAGGTTAAAATAAAAAGAATGAGCTAACTAGAGGAGAATAAATTAACGTATCATATTTATGTGTCCCAGTGCAACATCAGAAACCATCATGCCATGTTGAAAGTATTGCTAATTGAGCAGACTTGTGCTGTTTTTAGCACAACCCTACATGGGGAAGTTGTACCTGAGCTGTGTTAACTGCAGTACAGCCATCTTTACCAGCAAGAAGGAATAATTTAGAATTAAATTCAAAACAAGAATTAGCAAAACCTGAACTCTGAAGCTGTCTGGCTGGCTCTAGGTGCATTGAGAACAGGGCACATATACTTTCATGTGCTGGTGTCTAGGTTTTTAGTTTGTTTTTGAGACAGGGTCTCCTGGAGACCTTGAATTCTCTATGGAGTTGAGAATGATCATGAACTCCAGGACCTCCTGTCTCTACTTCTCAAGTTCTGGGATTTTTAGGTGTGCCCCTCCATGCCTAGCAACAGCAGCATTCATTTTAACCTGTAGATCAACTACCTGGATTCTATCTCACAAAGAGATTGAAAAAAACATATGGAAAGATGTGTGAGAAAGGTTGGACATTGCTGCCATTCATAATCAGGAAAATGCTATGAATTAAATGTTCATGTGGATACAGTGGACACGCCTGTGATCCAGGCACTCAGGAGGTGTAAGCAGCAGGATCAGAAGTTCATCATATTGGTTACTTAGTGAGTGTCAGGCCAGCCTAGGGTACATGAGACCCTGTCTCAAAACCAACACACATTACTTTATATCCCCACAGTGTTTGTCAAGAATACCTGAAAATCTCTTTCCTGAGAACCTACTGAACATGTTGTTTGAGGACATAGAGTCAGGGCTCACAGAGCTTAACTAACTTGTCCATGCTCCCCCTGACTAAGCAGAGGAGCCAGGATTGTGACTCCAGAGATGAGGCTCATACACAGGCAAACACCTGGTCTCTGCTACTCCCTTTCCTTGCAGTTAAACCATCCATGGGCTCTGATGAGGGTTAGTAGATTAGTGCTAAGCTATTAGAGTTGAGTCACCTGTTGCCAGCCTGTCTCCTGCTTATTCCAGTATGTACTGATCCCTGATCACCTGCATCAGAGCATTAGGGGAGATTCTGAATTTCTGTATGATCACAGGGTGCTAATCAGGCTGCATTCAGGAACAGCTTCTTCTGAATGGTTTATAAAGATGTAGATCTTGCTGGGAATGGGGGTCCATGGCTTTAATTCCAGCCATCAGAAGGCAGAGGCATGTGCATCTCTGTGGTAGAGGCCAGTCTTCACAGAGAGTCCAGGCTAGCTGTGGCTTGGCTACAAAGTGAGAAGTGAGACACAGCTTCATTTAAAAAAAATCCAGAATTGCCTTTTATAAGAGTATTAGGATCTGTGAGGTAAGACCAGCCTCAGCAGCTGAGCACACGCTGGAAACACCAGAGCACCGACTTATATGGGAACCATTGTTTTTCTCAATAGAGGAATAACCTAGTGAAACTTAGTGCTCCCAAAAATATGCAACCATGTTGTCATACCACACTTCATAGAAAACATTTTCATCCTTCTCCTAGACACTTTGAAGTTTGCATTGTCTGGATTTGAACAACTTAGTACCAGCTCAGGTTGTTTGATTTTACTTGCATGTTCTATTCTAGTTTATTTCCACACATAATCTCTCTATGTGGCCCTGGCTGTCCCAGAACTGATATGTAGACCAGACTGTCTTGGAACTCTCAGATAGTCTTCTGCCTCTATATCCCAAGTACTGGGAATCAAGGTGCACACTCCCATATAATTGCTTGTTCTGAAGTAGCCACAGAAAATGGAGGTAAAGTTTAGGTTGAGGTCTTGGGTGTGTTTTCTGCTCATCCCATTTGGTGTCTCTTCAATGATTGATGTTTCCTCAGGAAGTGGTCCCCACACCACATCCCCAGAAGATCTCTACTGAGGGCCTCTATATTGGAATCTCCGTGTCCCTTGTGCTGCTGCTTCTCACAGGCATCCTGTTGACCATAAGTGAGTAACTTTATCAAGACTTCAACATTAGCAATGGAAATGGGTCTCCCTGAGAAATGAGCATGAAATCCAAGGAATTTTGGCAGAGCAAATCTTTTATACCAGGTCAGGTGGTAGTACACACCTTTAATCCCAGCAGTAAGGAGACAGAGGCAGGCAGAACCCTATGAATTTGAGGCCAGCCTGATCTACAGAGCGAGTTCCAGGACAGGCTCCAGTGCTACACAGAGAAACCTCAAAAATAAAAAACAAAACAAACACACAAAGAACCTTTTACCCCTATAGCATACTGCAAAGCCACTTTAAATCCACTGAGCAAATTAGGGGTTCTGCTCAGCCTTTAACTCTAAAGCAAAGAGGTCCTATGCCTGCCTCTGAGTGCTCAGAGCTTGGCCTCACATTCTCTGAGACCGGTCATGTAAAGCAGTGCTGTGACTAGAGAGAATGGTGTCTGAACATGGATTCTGACCCTAGGAAAAGGCTCACTCCATAGCTATTCTTGCCAAATGATGTCTTCTCACATTTCTTTCAAGATGGCACTTGTTCTAACTTATTTAGTCCTTTGGTAGGAGACAGCATGTTTCATGTATATTTCCCAGACCTAGTACCTAGAGCAAGGATTCTTAACCACTGTGACTGGCTTTAAGGAGCTCCACATGCCACGGGGTTTGCATTCCACATGACTGCTCTATGTTCCCCAACCCAAGATACTTATAGTAGTCCCTTTGGATCCCAGGGATGTGTCACTACATACTATGCACTGAGATTATTCCTAGTACTTAGGAAATGTCCGGGGACCCCTGTTACAGTATCATAAAATTTCCTGTTTCATGTAATGTGTAAAACTTAAATATGGGTGGCTCTTTTTCTAAGTACCATTGTTTGTTTGATTTGTATCCTTTGGCATTTTTGAGACAGGGTCTTGTACATCCCAGGCTGGCATGGAACTTACAGTGTAGCTGAGGCCAGTGTTGAACTTTTTATCCTGCTGTACTTACAAGCATATGCTTTATGTTTCAATTGTTGGCCACCTCAAGAGAAAACTTGAACTCAAGTTTTCCATAAATGAATTTAATGTGGGGCTGGAAAGGTGGCTCATCGCTTAGGAGCATGTATTGTACTTACACAAGGTAGCTCCTGGGTGGGTGACTCATAACTGCCTGTATCCATAGCTCCATTTGGTGCCTCCATGCCTCCAGTTTATCAGGTTTCTGGTCTCGAGTACACACACACACACACACACACACACACACACACACACACACACACACACACACACACACACACACTTTTTTTTAAAGATTTATTCATTTATTATGTATACAGTGTTCTGTCTGACAGAGACACAGAGACAGAGACAGAGACAGAGACAGGGACAGAGACAGAGAGACAGATCTTTAAAGAAAAAGTTAAAGACTGGAACAGTAGTTTGCTTCACAGGGTGAGATCTGGATGGCAATACACCTTCTCAAGACTTCTGGTGTATTCTGCCTTAGCCTGGGGAACTGGTTTTGACCCCATGATGATATTTATGAGTGTTCTGGTGTTAATAAGTGTTAATAGAAGAGGCAAATGAAGCATTGGGAGGGCAAACTACATGACTAATGCTAAAGCAAAGTTCTTTGAGGATGGAATCCATACCTCAAGACCATTTGCTGCTGAGTTCATGAGGGCAAACACAGTGTTTCTGTTTTGTAGTCCACTCCCCGTGTGAGACCCCAACTCATCAGCTGTTCAAGACCTCACACAGGAGCTCATTACTGACCTGTCTCTCATTACTGGACAGTACGGCCTACTTTAGTGACTTTTTTAAAGGATCTTTGATGGACGAGACCATTAGTAGGACCTTGTGTCTCAGGTCACCTGGAGATTCCACATTTAGCTTGTTCTCCAGCAGTCAATTTACAAACCTAGACTTCATTTGTTTTCAGTGAAAGACAACTTACGAATGTCATGCTAGCACATTAGGAATGCTATGTGGGTGAGTGCACCAGTCCGTGATTGAAGAGAAGAAACTTCCTATGGGGTACAGGAAGGCACTTCCCAACATTATGAGGGAAAGTTTGATTAAAAACAGAAATAATACCCTGTTTAGTAGAAAACATAATGGATGTTTTTGATGACATGTTCAATTTTCCTTTCAACTCCTCCCCTCTACCCCCGACCCGACTCCATTTCAGCATGCAGACACATGAGAAACAAGAAGTCAGAGAGGTAAGTTGTCTCGGCCTGTGCCAATTGCTTTGGAACTTGCGGTCTTGTAGATTTCTCCTTGTTCCTTTTTTTCTTTCCCTTTCCTCCTCCTCTTTCTCCTTCTCCTCTTTTTCATTTACTTATTTTTAATTAAAGTGTTTTTCATAATACCTGTTTTGGTCATGCTCCTTTCCACCCACCAACTCCTCTTGGATCACACCACTTTCTACCTACTCTACATTATATTCTCCCTCTTTCTTTCAACAAAAGGAAAAAAAAAACCAACAATACAAAATTGAAGATCAAAACAAAACAAAAAGACTGTTTTCTGTCAGTTCTCACATTGGCTCATCTGCACTTTCTGACCCTAAGTTGTTTCCATATATAAATGTGTAATACTGACCCACACGAGAAAAGCTTTGCCCCATCTTCTTTGTAAATGGCAGCATAGGTGTTCTTCGTGTGGCTGACTGGTTCTGCATTTCAGCAGGAGAGATGGCCATTGTACAAAAGACAAAACTGCATTCTGTCAAAACACTACCCATGAGTTAAAGTTGGTCTGTTTTCTACTCTGATTTGCTACTTCATGAGTTTTAGGAAGCTCACATAGCAAGTCCACTGTGACCACCAGAGTAAAAGCCCCTCCCACAGATAATGGGAAAGGAAGACCCACAAATACCAGCAGTGCTCTCCCAAAATTAGTTCCTCTCCCTGCTGTGACTGATGTTTTTGTGCATGTGGTGTACACGAGTGTGTGCCGTACTGTAGACTTTGCAACTGTTTCCCAGTCCACCAGCCCCCCGTGGAAAGGCCCTGCTTCATTGATTTACACATTTCCCTTGTTTGTTAGTGTTAGAGTGTGCAGACGCTGTGCAGATTTCAAAACCGTTTATTTTTTTAAACAAGAATTTATTTATTTATTATTGTGATGGAAGCTGTTGTTGCTATTGTTGGTGTGCTTGTGTGTACACATGCAGTTCAATGGCATCTGTGAAGGTCACAAGACAACTTTCTGAAGCTGGCTGTCTCCTTCTACCTTTCTGTGGGTCCAGGGATCTAGCATGGGTCACCAGGCCCTCCTACCCCTTTCTAAAGGGCCACAGTCCTAAGATGTAAATACACAAGTCATCCAGTCCTTAGCCCAGTTCCAAAGTGTACACCCTGATTGATTAGGTAACTCAGTTTGATGTTGGGTATCTGTCTTTTTAGACATTTTACTTTTGTGCTTTATTACATGACTGTCCTGATGGATGCCAATATGAATTATTTTTGTTTTAATGTTTCCTAATTTGGCTGATGTTTATTAAGCAAACTTTTCTATGAATTAATATCAGGTCCCTACATGGTGCTATTCATTCCCTGTTACAGTTTTGGGAATTGGGCTCCTGCTGTGAAAATACCCCATCTTCCTGAATCGTAAATGAAAACTCTGCCCAGACCTAAAAAGTAACTGGCTTGTTCTTTTTCTGCCAACTCTCTCCACAGTTCAGTCGTCTTCCATGCTTACCAGAACAAAACTTTTCAATTTGCAGAGCAACCTCAAGCCACCAAAGACAAGTTTGACATTACTGATGACAGTTTTCACTCAAGTATTACATCCTAGTTGTTCTCTGAGGGGTCATCATCCCAAGACTGCAGAAGAAAGCAATGGGATATAACCACACTTGTATTTTTTTCCTGTGGCAGTTCATCTGATGTTCTCACTTGGAGCAATTGTGGAGAGAATGGCCCTTTAGCAATTCATATGCACGGTCACTGTTAATATAGTACTTAGTCTTGTCACACACCAAGGAGTTTTCTCTCAAACAGGAACACATAGAATTTCTTGGGTTCTTTAGATGCCATAAGCTGTGTCCTCGAGAGACAGTCATTGATAATGCAGGAAATGACCTTCTATCTTAGTTACTGAAACCACCAAGAAGACTAGGATTTAAAAGTAAAAAATAAAATGTAAGTAGGGAGGGCAAGGCTTAACGTAGAAGTGCCTCAGGATTATGTTTTATTGTCACTCAGAAAGTTGTTTTCCTTACTTTCCACAAAGGGACTTAAGTCACAGGAGCTGCAAGTTTAACTTCTCCAGTAGATAAACAGAAAGGAGCCCAGAGGTGGGTGTGCTTTCTAATGCCTCATGACATATGAAATATGATGCATAATTATGTGGTTGATCTTAGGGTAAGGATGGGTGTTTCATGTTAGGAGTGGTTTCCATGGTGAGTGTGACCCAGCAGAAATTAGGGGAAGAAAATAGTGGACAAGGGTGTGAATTCATTAGTGCTATTTCCACTGCAGTCTAACTTGACGCTCCATGTCCCTATACTCATCTGCTGGGCTGTGAATTAAGTGAAAAGATGGAGCAGGCCCCAGGCTCTCTGCCTGAGAGAAGTACTATTCCAAGTGTGACAGAGGTTGGGACTGGTTCATTCAGAGTTCAAATGTATAATTGTCTCCAGATCATATTTATATTTAAATTTATTTCAGAAGGACAAAGCATTTTTCATAGTAGATCAGTTTGTCACAGTTAATGAAATACTTGGTTTTGCTAAGAGTTAACAAAGGCTGCTGTATTGCTATCTTTACTAACAGTTTGATTGTTGGTAAGATCTGCTTTTCAAGGCAGTATTCATTTCTACATAAGTTTTCTGCCTCTTGAGTGCTGGTTACACTAGTTGTCCTCTTGTCTTCATGTGACCTCTTAGAAACTGTACACACACACACACACACACACACACACACACACACACAAAATAAATAAAATGTCATAAAATTTAAAATTTTAAATAAAAAAGTAGAATGAGGTAGAAAAGACAAATGATTAAATGCTGATTTATTGATTTTTTTAAATGATTTACCTTAAGTAACATTTGTATTGACTATTTGCCAAGAATGACTTCACTAGTTACCTACTACAGAATGATCTGTAGAAACAGCTAAAGCGATGGGTCATTGACCTTGACATCTTGCTGACTGCCACATATGCTTCTCTAAAATCTTGCTTATTTGTCTACTCAATTTGTATTATTTTATTATTATTGTTTAAGTGTCTGGTTGTTTTCTAATGAGAGAGAAAAATTGTGTGGATTTGGACAAGAGGGGAGATGAGAAGAATCTCGGCGGAGCTGGGGGAAGAGAAACACTAATAAGAACTGAAATTATAGAAAAAAAATTACTTTTCAATAAAAAAGTAGAAAAATGAGAATACCGCTGGGCCCATCATTGAAGCCTTCCCATAGCCATCCAGGCTTTGGACCATCAGTGCCATCTCCGTCTTCCCTTTTCATTGAGCTCAAGTGATTACTCCAGGGAGAGTCCCACAACAAGAAGACATGGATAAATGACTATCTTCTTAAGTGAAATGATGACCACATCTTATTTGGTAAAATTTGAGGATATCCAAAATTAATTTTGAGTCAGAGGGCATTTTCCTGAAAGAGGAAACCCAGAAGTTTGTGTGATCAACCTTGGATGGAAGAGGAAACAGAAACGCAGACGAGGGAAAGGCCTTGACCCAGGTCACCAGATTCAGTTGTGACTAATTCAGAATCTTAACACATAATGCCTTTTCCTCATCCCAATATGATAAAAAAAGATTTGTTTGTCCAGGCAATGTGGTACACATCTTTAGTCCCAGCATGTTGTATGCAACGCCACCAGTCTGAGCTACCTTGCTATAATCTTAAAATAAGAGAATATGCACACATACACACCTACCACAAACTTATTCAACCCAGGGGTTCCTACTGCTTGCTGTACCTGGCTAGGGAGGGGCTGTGTAAATGAGAATTCAGACTGTAACTGCAGACATAATGTTCCCGTTTCAAGGAAGGCCCGAGCACTTGTTGCTATGCCACTCCCCATGTGATCTAATGATCAGGAAGGGTCTTGAACCTCTCTCTTGTCTAGGCCTCTCTTCCCCTTCTCTAGACTGCATCCTTAATATGAAAATATATGGAAGGTGCCACTGGCCTTCACAGGTGAGGCCTCTTTATCCTAGGTTCTCCCATCCCACCCCCAGGACTGTATCTAGGGAAATCAGAGGAGATAATAATCTGTATCTTTTTATGATATCATGACCCATGGGCGATTCATACAGATAAAAAGAACATGAAAAGGTCTACTCACTTGGTGTGATGACTAATTTCAGGTCTAATTTTTTATCATTCCATAGACCAGGGAATTCTACCCTGCAGCAGTAGATCCCATGGTCATCTACAGTCACATTCTCTATGGTCAGGGACACATCTCCTTTGAGGAAATTCCCCCTTAGCTGGTATCTTCTGGATGTCTGATATGTCACGTTTCTTTCATCAGTGCTGAGAACCCCATTGCCACACTGTGACCAAGGGCAGGGTCCCTTACCCCAGCACACAGGCACAGGTGTCGCAGGGGTTTGTAAAGTGTAGCTGCAGGGCACATATGCATTCTTACCGACCTCGACAATAACTGCATCTTCCAAAGACCCTTCACAGAGAGGGAAGGAGGATAAGACAGTGAGCGAGTGAGGGGATTCATTTCTGTTGACAATGCATCATATATTTAAAGAGGAACTATGGCTGCCCTGTTGGGAGGAGGATTGACTGTGCCAATGATTCTCTGACATCACAGGAAACAGAGAGCCCTTTTCTAACACCCGCTATGATTGCACATGACTCTAGCCCTGGAGCTTGGCAGGTGAAGACAGGAAGATCCCAATTAGAGACCAGACTGAACTATAGAGCAAGTTCCAGGTAGCCTAATTGATGAACTCGTTTTCTCAAAAAAACTTAACAGGTCAGAAATGAAGACTTATGACCATAATCCCTGTACTGAAGATCCTGTTTCAGAATTGCAATGAGTTTGAGACCAGCCTAGGCAACCCATATTCATTTTCTAAACTGTCTGCCTCCATTGGTCTGAGGAGGAACATGGGAAATTACATTTCTCTCAATTCCCACGTGTTGTGTGTCCTTTATTCCCCACACCCCACTTTCAGCATCACCAGCCTCAAAGAGAATTGTTAAGAGTTCTTTGACGATAAAAGCCTGGGCTAATGGAGTCAACTTTCAGAAAAATAGACATCATTGGCCAGGAAAATGGTCCACCTATTTGAGCTAGTCTATTCATTAGCAAAGGAAAGGTAACCTCATCCCCATTCTTTCTTTCTTTCTCTCTCTCTCTCTCTCTCTCTCTCTCTCTCTCTCTCTCTCTCTCTCTCTCTCTTCCTCTCTCTCCCCCTCCCTTTTTCTCTCCCTCCCCTCTCCCTCTTTCCCCCTCTAGTGAATAAAACCCTTTAAAAAAACAGAACAAGTAGCTTGCACATTTGAAACTCCTTATATGTTGTATTGAAGTTTAACATAAATTCCTCTATAATAACACAACTATATAATAAAGTATTCTAACCACATGAAAGGTACATGAAAGCTGGACTCCCTCTCCTAACTCTTCCCATCCCCCAGATCCCCCTCCTGGAGCCCAAGCATTAAAAGAATTGAACACACTGCTGATCCCTAGCAGTGTGTGCACACATAATTGGGCAACCTTGATTTTCTCTGTAGCATTGTTGCTGCCAGCACCTATATCAGGTTGTTCAATGAGGCTCCCTGCTTGTATCATGGATACCTCAAATTTACTTACTTGGTTGAACAGTTAGGTTGCTGCCAAACATATGCTATTATAAACTGCCTCATGATGAGCATGCTTGTATCTCCATCTTGCCCTCTGTGAAATAATTTTTTTGCCATCCGAAAAGCTCCAGCCTGTACATACATGTAAGTAGTAGTAGCAGCAGCAGGTCACGGTTGAAGGAAAGATGTGAAAATGTGAGTACAAGGCATGGGAAATCAAAGTCCAGCTGTGTGGGCACAGCTTTAGCTCTCCAGTTAAAACGGTAATTCCCCAAATCTCTGTCTATTCTGGAGCTCAGGAGAGCAGTAGAGACAAGAGAATTGCAAAGAAAAGGCAGAGGAGCCACATAAGCAAGTTACTGGTCATTCTGAGCAATGAGACACTTCCTCTGAAATCAAAGAAGTCAGGGGTGGCTCACTCAGGAGGCTGAAGCAGGAGGACTACCATGAGTCCCGGCCCAGCCTTGGCTGCAGAGTAAATTAGAGGCTAGCCTGAGATACAGAGGGTTTCAGAGCCTCCAGCTCAGTTGGTCAGGAGTGAGTCTGGGATGTTGCATTGCTGTCATTTCCCATATACTGGGATCCTGCTTCTTCATGTACCAGAACCACTGCCTTGGAGAGAATTGTGAATCAGTTCTGTGAACATGAAATAATGGGGCTAATGGAAGTTGACAATCAGAAAAATGGGCATTGCTGCCCATGAAAATGGCCCCATCTATCTGGGATCTGAGCTAGTTGTCAGTTCATTAGCCAATGAAGGGATGATCGAATCACCCCAATACAGTGAACAAGAACCTCAACAAATAAGAAGCTTGTACATTTCAAACTATTGGAGCCATTATAATGTTCAACATTAATTCTTTTCAAAACATTTATATGCACACATCTATACAGGAAAGCAGTCAAGCCATATGAAACCTGTATGAAATCTTGACTCTCTTTCCAAACTTTTCCCATTCCATGCTTTCACTCTGAGTCTAAATATCGAAAAGTTCTCCACACATTGCTGTTCCCTGACATTGTGGGCACAAACAGGATTCTACCATATGCATGTTGCTGCACCTTGATTTTCTCAGTAGCATTGTGACTTCTGGCATTCTCTACCTGATGATTAATCAGGCTAATGGCTTATATCATGAATGCATCATATTTCTATACCTGGCCTCCCACTGACAGACATTTAGCATGCTGCAGACATGTGCTGTTACAAACATCATTTCTAGGACCATCCCTGTATCTCCCTCCTACCATCTATGGCATACTGATGTCATTACTGCTCAGCCGTGAGCTGAACTTACACATAAAACTCTAAACTTTTATTAAAAAGTAAAATTAACTGGGCAGCTCTAGGAAGACTGTTCCCTACATGTTTGCTCTATAAGAGATTTCTACATCAGCACTCCCTGCTGGACTGGAGCAATTCCATTATGCCAAATTTGACCAATAGATCCTAGCCAAACTCTCCTGACCTGGAGTTGATCCAGGCCTCAGTGAAGTTTTCTGCAGTTTTCACTGTTCCTTCCAACAATGACATCAACCTTCCTCCTCAGACTAAAAGTTCCCGATACACATGCAGCAACCTTACCATTCTGGAAATTCAGGTAAATACTATGAAATCTGAGATTTCACACCCTTCTAACTGCTTCTTTCTCGTCAATGTGTCACAAGGACACTCTGGGCAAGGCTGTCTACTTGAAGCTAATTGTTTTAGAGCCTGGGAAGATACAGATCTCCTTGGATTATTTATTTCCTTGTTGTTCAATTTTTTTCCTGAAAGAATCTGGGTCTGCAGCAAAATCACAAGTGCCCCTGTAATCATCCAATTTCCTCTAATGTCAGCATCGTACACATCATGGAATCTTGATCAAAACCAAGAAACGGGCATGATACTATTAAATGAGCCACATTCCTTACTCGAAGTCCTGGGATTGGTTCCTCAAGTTTGAATGGTTACGTTGGGTGGGGTTGCACATGAGTGCAATTCCAGCATATTAGTGAAAATCCAGTACTGGGCAGGGAGATTGCTGATATGCTGTCCACCTGGTCTACATAGCAAGACTCTGTCTCCAAAAACAAAATCAAAAACAAGGGTTGGTATACAGGTCAGTAGTATACATAAATAAATAAACTAAGTAAATAACATGTAAAGATTATACACATCTATACTGATGTATTAAAAAATAAAAATAAAACATACAATAGAAAAGACAAGCATGAAATCTGATGCTCCAGAACTAGATCTAATGATCAGTCTAAGACCAGCCTCAACTACAGAAACTTGAGATTCTTGAAATACATGAAACCTCATCTCAAAACACACAAACAAACAAACAAACAAACAAAAGAAAATAGCCAAGCATGCAAGGAAGCAAGTAGAATCTAAGTTTAACACTGGAATTTCCTCATTCTCCTTACACTGAGCATTCCCAACACTCCCCAGGAGAAATCTGTATAATTGCTCTGTACTTCTAGACCAGCACGGTCCAGTACTAATACAATGAGGACTATGTAAGCAGTTTCAATTTCCCACTACACATATTAAAAAGAAACAGGTGATAGGGCTTGAGAGATGGCTCAGCAGTTAGAGGTACATGCTGTTTAATCTTGAAGGCCAGACTTAGCATCCCAGCACCATCATAAGAAGACAGCCCCCCAAGAACACCTGATTTCCAGCCCTGAAAATAGGGGAGAGGGTGACAGAAGGAATGGTGGTCTTTACAGATTCCAGTTTACTGAGAAAACATGAGTTCAGGATTCAGGGAGAGATCCTGACTCAATAGAGTAGGCAGAGAAATAAAAGAGGTCATCAGATACCCTCTTCTGTCCTGTGTGTTCATGTTCACACACCCTGGTACAAACACACACTTGAGTGTGTATCCACAGAGAAATTAAATTAAGAAAAACCTAAAACCTCCATTGAACTTATTTCCGTATTTTGGTGAGTCTTCTCAATTACTCAATAGATACATACCTGCTGAGTATCAAGGCCAGGGAGATGGTTCTGTGATTAGGAGTACTTCCTGTCCTTGTAGAGGATCAAGGTTAGGTTCGCAGCACTCACAGGACAACTCATCCCATGTATCTCCAGTTCTAGAGGCTCCAAGGCCCTGTCTTGGTTAGGTTCTCAGCACTCACAGGACAACTCATCCCATGTATCTCCAGTTCTAGAGGCTCCAAGGCCCTGTCTTGGTGCCTGTGGGCTCATCCATGCATATACTCAGCCCTTTCCCACTCATGTTAATATAATATTAATAAAAAGAAAATTATTCTTAAAAATATAGAGCTTTAAACTACAAGTCATTTTACTTCATCCTGTTTCTCTACCAAGTACTTTGAAGAGTCTGCTTGCTTCCCCCACACTCACACATTTCCATTCTATCGACATATGTATGTAAATATGGTACTACTGAGTTATGATATTTCACAAAAATAGGTTCCTGGAAACCAGCTGTTACATGTTATACTTTCACTTACATTTCTTGAAGATACTTGAAGTTCACAGTTCCAAAAGAAAGTTGGTATTTTTTAATACATACACACTGTTCAGCAGCAGAATGAACAGTGTGACGACCTATTCCTAGAACAGGGATGTCCAAAATACACCAACATTTTGTACAGGTGCTCCTGGCATGGCAGTTCAGTACCCAGGGATAGTTCTTTACAAGATGATCATCCTAGCTGGGGGTGTAGCACACTTTCAGAGTGTTTGTCAGGTGTGGGAGAAGCCCTGGGTTGGATCCTCAGAACAGCAGAAACCATGGATCATGGCACGCACATGTGATCCCAGCACCAGTGGAGAGAAGA